TACCACAGCCCCAACACACCGTCTTCTTGTGTCCGTACCACAGCCCCAACACACCGTCTTGTTGTGTCCGTACCACAGCCACAACACACCGTCTTGTTGTGTCCGTACCACAGCCCCAACACACCGTATTGTTGTGTCCGTATCACAGCCCCAACACACCGTCTTGTTGTGTCCGTACCACAGCCCCAACACACCGTCTTGTTGTGTCCGTACCACAGCCCCAACACACTGTCTTGTTGTGTCCGTACCACAGCCCCAACACACCGTATTGTTGTGTCCGTATCACAGCCCCAACACACCGTCTTGTTGTGTCCGTACCACAGCCCCAACACACCGTCTTGTTGTGTCCGTACCACAGCCCCAACACACCGTCTTGTTGTGCCCGTACCACAGCCCCAACACACCGTCTTGTTGTGCCCGTACCACAGCCCCAACACACCGTCTTGTTGTGTCCGTACCACAGATCCAACACACCGTCTTGTTGTGTCCGTACCACAGCCCCAACACACCGTCTTGTGTACGTACCACAGCCCCAACACACCGTCTTGTTGTGTCCGTACCACAGCCACAACACACCGTCTTGTTGTGTCCGTACCACAGCCCCAACACACACCGTCTTGTTGTGTCCGTACCACAGCCCCAACACACCGTCTTGTTGTGTCCGTACCACAGCCCCAACACACCGTCTTGTTGTGTCTGTACCACAGCCACAACACACCTGAACTGCTCATCTATCTTGTGAAAAAGACATTTTGTCAAGAGATTTTTCTTAATAAATAACTCAACATTACTGTCATTTCGAGAATCGTGATGATGCCCATTATGTGTTTTGTATATTCATTCATTGTGCTAAATTGCACAGTTTTGTATGTAGAGTTATTGATGATTTTGTAGTACCACACCCACACACACACTTCCACCACACCATATACTATATTATATATCTATAACAATAAACTTTATTTATACAATAATATATATATTATATCTAAAGTATATACCTTTGTGCGTACAATGAACATACTTTTAGTGTAAAGCCAAATCCTACCCTGGTAGGTGTTTTGGCGTGACCAAAAAAAAAAAAATGTGCTGGCCTAGCACTTAGCCTGCATCCTAAGTGTCTTCTAGGCTTGTGTTCCTAGTCTCCCTGCACCCTGTGAACTTGAGTGCTGAGTTTGCCTAACGTTTTTGGCTATAGACGATTTAATATATGCAAGAGTAAGTAGCTGATACAAAAGACAATTCCATAGACTACTGGACTACATAAGGCAGGCAATCAAACGAAGCAATAGTAGAAACCATCGGCATGTATGAAAATTCAGTGAGGACTTGGTTGTGTTTTCTTTGAGGATGGTGTTGATAACAGGCCCACACCTAAGGAAAACGTCACCACTAATTTTAGTAATAACGAACACTGAATTACTGAGATCATATTTTCCGAATCATTCAGATTGTCCTATACTATGATTTTAATGCAAGACGGTACACCATGTCACTACGAAATGTATTGTTCGATAACCAGCCAGAAAGTCCTCCTCAGACTTGAACCCTATTGAGAGCAATTTAGCTTAATCTTTCCAAACCTATTTTAAACTAACCAAAATGTAGCTAGTATTAATTACTATCAATGATATGAATTATTTCGTGAAGCTCAGACTGATTTTCACCGAGACTTTTTTTGCAATAAATTTACACTCGGCTTGTTTGGCAAAACAATATTAGCTTTATAAGCCAAGATCGCAAACTCTGCTTTAAAAGTGCGACATTATATATATATATATATATATATAATATATATATATATATATATATATATATATATATATTATATATATATATATATATATGGAGGTACCACCTCTGGAACTGTGCTGGGGACCCTCATCCTCAGAGAAAAGAATAAACTTACTTCAGGGAAAATTCAAGGTTTCCCCCGGAGCTGTTTGAATATTTTCTCCTATATACATACATCCATCCATATATATATATATTTATATATATATATATATATATATATATATATATATATATATATATATATATATATATATATATATATATATTATATACACACACTTATTAACAAAATTTATTATCATACCTTCATTGTAAGGGAAAAATCATAATTTTTATACTAAGCGATATTTAAGATTGTTGCGCCTGGCAGCAGCTTCCCGGTATACTGTGAGGCTCATGTAGGCTACAGCGTAGACATGGTTCATTGTGCCCTGCGGAGTCCTGCCGAGTCTCTCTGGTCGTTCTCAAAATACTGGTTGGTCTTTTACAGTATGAAAGTTTCATAATGTAAATGTAAAGTTCTAAAGCATCAAACTCGGTTTTTAGCGTATCATGGGATAATTTCTTTAGTGAAGGGAAATTCTTAGCGTTTAGTTCATAGGTCTAGATGTATTCATTTCTAAGACGATTTATTAAGAACTGTTTGTATTTTGAACTTTATTAAATGTTATAATTGTTAGGGTCGAGTACTGTTTTATTTGAAGTGTAGGACACTGAAGCCTAATTTAGCAGGCTGCCTGAATACTATAACAATGAAGTTAATTTGCCGCAAATATATATTATATATATATATATATATATATATATATATATTATATATATATATATTATATATAATTATATATATATATATATATATATATATAATATATATATTATATATATATATATATATATATACATATATCTGAACTCTGTCGGTGTAATAAATATATTGTTTTCTTTAAAACAGTGAACTTGTGCACTGAGTTTCAGGTATGATTTTATTCATATGTAAGCTGCTAAATGTTTTCTCAAAAAAATATGAATATTTTAAAGTAATAAAGACCGTTGTGATTCAGGTAACCCCACTGGAATTAAATTAATGAGAGTTTTGAGGAGTCGTATTTGTTGTATAAACAGTACAGGCAGTACTTTCCTTTTTCAAGCAAAATCTACTTCTTCAGATTTAAGTAGTCCCGACTTTGATTTTAATGCCAGTTTTATTTAAATTCGACTTGCCGTTAGATGGGCAAGAAATATATTTTATTGCTAGTTAATAGTCTATAGAGTATATGAACATAATGTGTATTGTAATGGTTATCAAAAAGGAAGGAAATTCAAACCAGTAAATTGAATTCCTTATGATGAACGTTGTGTAAAGACCAGAAATGTTTTACAGTATAATCATGGTATTCATGAGTCACAATAAGATTGACTTAGTCGCTATTAAGGGCTGAAGTGTGTGGAGGATATGTTAAGGGTATCATTAAGGACAGATAACCCCCCTACCCTCACCCTCACAGATCTAACTACATCATCGATCACAATACGTTTCATTCATGCAGTTTCATGTTTTTTGTAACATCTGCCAGCCTGCATTCTTATTATATTTCACCATTAAACGTTCTTCTAACTTTTTTGCATCATGCTAGTTACATAATATTCATTTGCATTACCGGTTTGAATGTAGGTTTTCTTGTAACTTTAAAATTTTATTTATTCAGATACTTTTATTTTTAAGTTTAGTGTGGCCTCTGTGTTATTCATTGCTCATCACTAATGCATTTATGATGAGCATTTTCAGTAATATACAGTATAGGGTTATGGATATCAGAATTTTTTTGCCTAGCAGCATTCGGTCTGTAGGTCATGCACAAGTAACCTATTTTCATTAAATTTGTTTGATAATTTGAATGCTGTTTCTCAGTAACAAGCGTTGTTTTGATGTCATTTTATATCAGCTAAGTTATTGTGGCTGAAGAGTGTTTACCTTCGTGTTAATAATTTTTTTTAATGTTGGGTTTATTTAATAAAACTATGTACCTTTTAAATCATTCGTAGATTAATTTAAAATTCTTTAATTATGTTCAGATCCAACTTCATTACAGGGTGATCACTCATGTTTAGATCCTTATCCATAGGGTAGAAAGTGTTCAATCATGTTCAGCTCCTACTTCATCAGACTAAACAGAAACAGCAGGATAAATTCACTCATCAAAACCCTGCTGCTTTTGGATCATACTTTACAATGTTCTCATCTGCAGCGTCGATATGCTCATCACAAGGCCTTAAGGTTTTTACCATCAGATTAGAAGAGAGGGCTGTGGAAGAAACACAGGAAGTGATCTAAAAGAGTATAGAGCTGTCCTCAAGAAGGTAGATTAGTGGAGTAGAATACCTTGAAGTTCTACACCTTTTTTGCTATATTTTCTTAAATAACCCCTTTCTAAAATGCCCCTATAATTAATAAAATTCCATTTCAGCTCATTTTCGTGAGAATAATAAAGAGAATTTATTCTTATTCTCACCAAACATATATATTTATATATATACATATATAAATTATACATTAATAATACCTGGCAAAATAAATAAGATTCTCTTTCACATGGTATGTATGACAGACAGTCCCTGCTGATATTGCTAAAAGATTCTTGCATCAGCCAAGATTACACCGTGTGGGGTTAATGTGCCACCTACAGTCACCGAGAACTGTCTTGGTCTGTCACTGTAGCCTTCAGGCAGGCAGATGTACCCCAGCGTAAACTTTTCAATCATAAATGTTGTAGCGTCAAGTGGTATTTCCTTTTCTCTTTATTGGGGGGTTTTCATTCTTAATTTTAGCTTTGGTTGTTGTGGTTACTGCCCCCTAAGTGACCGCGCCTACACACTGTACATAGTGTTGACCCTTCCCTTGGTGTGCAGACATCACTTTTACTCTTAATGCAGGTGTCTTTTAGTTGTCCATTTTACCTTCTAGTCGTATTTTGTAATGTTCGTATCTTCCCATGGAGACTTTACAAAAACAATATCATATCTTAAAAAAAATGCCTTGACATGATACCTGAAAAAAAAAAACACTTGTATAGGCAACTTTTTCTGTGTAATACATTGAAATAATACATTAAAAACCAACTGTAAATAAGTTTTGGTTCAATGTCTTCTTTGTTCGAAAAGAGGATTAAAAGCCACAAATTAAACTACCTGTTCTAAACTTGCAGAAATAACAATTCTGCTGTCGTTAACCCTATTCTTGAACATGGTGTCAGCCACCACACCCGCCACGTCCGAATCGGTGCCTCTCATAGGTAAACTTGGTGACAGATGAAGTCTGATGTACAGTGTCGAACGCAAGAGCGCGGCCAGAGATACCCAGGATGTTAACGGAGGGAGTAAACTGTGCTTAATATACACATAGCGAGTTGGTTTATTCCTTAACTGCTGTTAAAGGCATTACAGAGTTGCCCATCATATGGCGGAGCAGGTTTTTCTTTTTTTTATAATATTTTTTCCTCTCCCGTAGCGCTAGTCATTCTGTATTTTTTTTTTTAGTCTAAATTACATCCATATTTCGTTTTTCCCTGCTGTTTCTTCTTCTCTCTCCCTTTGGAAAATATCAACCTTCAGCAACCCTGCAGCCTCTTATCCCTCTCCCCCTCCCTTTCTCCCTCCCCCAGAAAAAAAGAAACATATAATACTACCCCCCCCCCTTTCCACACACAGTAGACACGACATAAACAGATTCACACAGATCATGCATTCCATTCATGATGGTGTGCTCAAGTGTCATGCAGTAAGCACTCAACTCCAAGTGGGGAGGCCCATGACGTTTGTGTCTATCTTACCTTTGCTTGTGTGTCACTGTCTCTTGGTTCCCCTTATGGTCGTCTCTGTATCCTTCAGTGATATATATAAATATATATATATATATATATATATATATATATATATATATATATATATATTATATATATATTTCTTTTATTTTGTGTGCAATTTGCATTCCAGTTGGTACAAGCGCAGCATGTTGCACGCACACTGTACTACTGTCAGGCTTGCCTGAGTGATAGGCGGCTCATCTTTGTGTTAGCTTTCATGGTTCTTGTATTAAGATTAAAACGAATGGCTATCACTATAAGTTTTCTTGTTGGCTGTTTGTAGCAGAGTTTCTGGCTATCATCAGGCAAGCAGTGTGGTAGATAAGCTATGTGCTTTGTTTTTATTTATAACTTTATTCATGATACATCTATTAAGATTAATCCTCACAGATATGTTATAAGCGTTTAAAGACTGTCCCTATAGAGTGATATTAATATTTTAATGTGTATTAAATTAAATTTAAGACAAAATTATGATTACCAAGGCTGATTATATATTATTACTAACGTACTCTCCTCCTGGACAGCATCTGTTCCTTCACCTCTTGTTATTATCATAATTGTCTACCTTCCTCACCTCGATAACACAATTTAACATGTGCAATAATTACAGACAGGTCTCTAAAAAATTACTCATTCAGATAATTAAGAATTTCAGTTTCAAAATTCAGCGATGGTGAAATGGCTAATTACTGGTGGATCACTTTAGCTGCTGCTTCCTGCATGGTCTAAGTTGTGTGCCTCTTGCGTCGAGTTCCCTGAACCCTTCGTTACTAACAAGTCGCTATTTAAATAATTAATTAATAGATAATTACACACCATTGGTCAAAATTAAAATAAACTGAAGAATTTATTGGTCAAGAACAAATAAATCGTCTTCCACGCATGAGGTGTTGGGCCAACTCTGCGAGGTCTCGTAGCGGCTGAAGGTTAGTTCTGCATGTGTGCCCTAGTTCTTATCCGGCCTATTTTTTTTTTTCATACAAACTTGACCGGTATCGTCGTAAAGCTGTCATTTAGCAACTCGGGACAAGGAGGGTTCAGTAACTCGTATTATTTCAAAGACTCGAAGCTCAGTATAGCCTCATTCGAAGTGCCGAGAAGCAACAGATAATAATGTTGTCTTCAGCACTGTGAGCCATTAACTAGTTGTTCCTGTTCGGAACCTGTATACTTTATTACAAATACTTGCATCAAGGATATCAGTAAATAACTGTCTTCTGAGAACTCTCTCTCTCAGTCTCCCACAGCGGCTATCATGACATGTCTTAAAAGTTGTTTTTGTCATAGTTCTTAGCTTCTGCGGCCACCTGCATGATTTACCTGAGTACCGCTGAGTCCTCCCCAGTGATAATGTCCTCTTCCACCACCACCTCTACCACACCCCCGTCTTCCCACACCTCACGTGGAGAGTTCAACTCTTCAGAGACGCTGAGGTTGGTCACACTGCAGAAAAGTTGTTATTCACACTGCAGGTGATAATAATTATTTATAATTTTAGGCGTTCTTTTAAAGCGGGAGTTTTTGTATGAAAATTATAGCAGTAGCGTTAAATAATATGAGAAGAAAAATATGATTAAGACATATCACTATGTCACATGTATAACATATTTACTTTTTCTATCTTTTTTTTTTCTATTATTTAGCAGATTGTCAGTGTGAATTTTAATGAGTTTCCTAAAAATTTCCTAAATAACGAACTTATTCTAAGATCGGAAACTTCCTAAAGTCAAACTATTTTTTTTTTTTTTGTGATACAAATATTTTTCGTCTTAAATCGATAAATTACTCAAGAGTTTACATTTGGAAATAAACTGTCACAGTATCGTCATATTCGTTAGCACAGTTGACATTTTTATATCCACCTAGCTAACAGTAGCCTTATTCCAGAACTACCTCGACACACTCTTCATTCTAAATTCCGATCTCGTTCTTGTGCTCGCATTCTGTGTTTTGCAGATGTCAGAGTGTAGCATCTTTAGTCAGCCAACTCCAGCGGTCTGAGCGATGGAATCACCACCTTCCTGTACACTTCTTATAGATGCATGCTCTCCTAGCCTCCTCATACCTCCATCCGTGTGATCCTTTGTAAATATCCTTAAACAAAAGTGCATATACAATTGTTTTGTTCACGGAAAGTGAATATATATATATATATATATATATATTATATATATATATATATATATATTATATATATATATATATATATAATATATATATAATATATATATATATATATATGTAGTCCTTCCCTGCCGGTAACATACATCATAGGTTGGATGGTTGTGGCAGAATCAAAGTAGAAAGATCCTGGAACTCCAAATACTAGAACAGCTCGTCGTTATAACACCATATGACTAATGACAGCAGCAATACTGAAATAAAATACTTATCACTCACACCGAGATTGCGATACAACAACTAAACCTAATAATTACGACAGGAGTAAACCCATAATAGCAAATATTTACACTGAGCATGTGAAAATATCATCAGAGTATTTAAAATAATTGTTCTTCTCTGCTATCCATGACACTGACGGAAAACGGCAAAATATCACGGTACTTTATTCAGCAAATTGTTGTTGACAACCGAATATAAGTACCGGGAAATTTTTCCACACGACTCAGTTTTATATTAAATGTAGCAAACAGTTGACAAAAAAGTTTACATTTTATAATTAGGTGAAAACTTTGACGAAGCTACAAGCCACTCCCAAAATATCGAACTTGATAATAGTAGGAAATATGAACTACGAAATAGCTCATGCTTCTAGTACTACGAGGTTTTGTATTTAGAATAAAATGCTGTGTTGTGTACTAATTAGGAACTTGAACTTTGATGTTATACAGTTGTGAATGTTATTTTTTATGTCATAGTTTATAGACGTGTCCACATGAATAATAAGATACACATTTTCGATTAATGTAATTTCAAGTACGCTTCATGTAAATAAAAATGAATTATAAGGGAAATATCTAATCTAGAAATTAAACAGTTAATTTCAGTTAGTCCAAAATAAGCTAAAGAGAATAATTTAATCATAATTAAAGATCATACCAGCCAGCCTCAACTCAATAAAAAAAAAGATGACTGTTATGTGTGATCCTGGTGTGACTGAAGCAGTTTCCTTCCGTACACATGACGCGACACTTATACCAACAAAATATCAGATCTTGAGAATAGATGAAACAGGTTAAATAATATATATATATATATATATAATATATATATATATATATATATATATATATATATATATATATATATATATTTACCAAGAATATACGTGAACATAATATCTTTATACTGAAAACTTACGACGCTATAACAACGCTTCAGGAACAGGGATATTAACCCTATTCCGATGAAGATGTTGAATTCAAAACTGAACACCTGGACATGCGGAAGACCGCATGAAAATATCCACACACAGTCCCTTTCCTAGACGACGCCATAACAGGAACCCGAATTGATAAAAATCCTAAACGCGCGTCCGAATGGTAAACAAGTTCATATTTTCTTAGAGTATAACAGAAACAGTAAAAACAGAGATGGGAAAAGAACGAGGTAGATAGGAAGAGAGAGGCAACAGAATGGTTAAGAGGCCTGATCACATTAGTCGGTTTTAAGCGAGCAGTTATTGTCACATAGTGACGTATGAGGTAGTTAGTAGCCATGATAACCTCGCCGATAGACAAGCTCTCCATACTGTTATACACTTCACAAAATATCATAGTGTAATTCTTTAATGCACATCTATAGGTATAGGAATAGGTAAAATTGGTCAATTACTAAGAACTCATTTAAAATTAAGTCCTTTCTAAAGTTTTCTCATATACATTTAAAGATATATTATTTTTCCTTTACCAAAAGTACCTTAGAAAATTTACCCAACTTTATTATAACAAGCGCAATTTAATTTAGCCTAATCCAACTAAACATATTTTAAATAAGTTTACAATAATTTAACAATAACAAACACAATGAAATATATTGTTTTCGTTAGGTTCAGAATGATTTTTGCGAAATTATTGCATACACAAATTTTTGCTTGCCGTATTCGGCAAGAAGAGCCAAAATCGCAAGTTTTACCTATTCGGCACATTATATATATATATATATATATATATATATATATATATATATATATATATATATATATAATATATATATATATATATATATATGAGAATTTCAGTGGGGAGGAGTGAATGGTGGTTAGGTCGGGTGTATCTGAGAGGATCAGAGCTAATTATGGAACGAGGGAACATATGCAAGTAATTCAAGAATAATATGGGTGGAAGGGTAGAAGTGGGTACGTGTCTATGGACCTGGAGAAGAGAGGAGTGCAATGAAATTGAGAGATTTTGGGAGGTATTGCTCGAGTGTTTAGGGAGTTTTGAATCAAATGAGAAAATAATTGT